CGCCAAAACCTTTGAGGGAGTACCGGGTCAGATTCAGGCATCATACGGATCCCAAGGAAGATCGTTGGTTCACAAGGGAGGAGCTTGTCAGAACAGCACCTCAAATCATTGCCGAGTATGAACGGAAGTTAAAGGGAAAAGCACCTGCGTAGAAGCATCTCAGCATACTTTCGAAGCTAAGGAGGATGGAATGCGAAGAATGAGCCCTCGCTAGGCCCTTCTCGGGCATGCACATATTCTGCGCTGCGGCCCCCAGCAAGCCCCGTGCCCGCCCTAAGTGAAGCCGGGCCTGTACATCCACGTGAGGCCTATTTTCGACATTTTCGTAACTGGGGTATCAGACAGTTGCCGCATGGCAGTTGATTACAGAGCAACATTAGCCTTTCCTGGCTCTTTCCAGAAGCAGCAGCTGTGACGTACAGTTGGACCCAGGGCTCAGGTAGTTGCACCCTGGGCACACGCAGTGGGAGACCGACACATCACACAGAGGCCGTGGGCCAATGCGAATGCAGCTTTGTTGTCACACATCTACCGCGAGCCAATGAGGATGCGGCAAACACTTGGAGCCTGGAGGGCAGCCCAGACGTTCCCAACTGCAAGGGGCCCAGGCCCGTAAGAGCAAAGGGAGGCCTGGGCGCAGACTATGGGGCCCGACTGGAAGCTACGGGGAAGCGGCCCAGCTGGGCCCACACAGCCAGAAACAGGGCCGCACTTTCCATGAAGGAAAGTGCCCTGCCCAGGCAGCGGCATTCTGCCCTAGGCAGGCATAGCGACCACGCTGCTGCATTGCCAAGCGCTGCTGTGGTAGCGCTAGCCGGCCAGGGCACACGCGGGCGCAGAGAGGTGAGGGGGCGCTTCGGTGGCCGCGGGCGCACGGCGCCCATAGCCGGGCCGAGCGTGTGGTGGCAGGTGATGGCGATGGTGGTCTTCGGGTAGGAGGCACATGCAGAGGGGAGACAGGGTGTGACGAGGGGAGGAGAGATAATGTACCTGGTGTATGCTGGCGGTCTGCATTGGTGATGACGTCACATACATTGGTCTTCAACTTCGATGTGATCCAGTTCCATTAACGTAGATAGGGGAAGATAGGCTGAGTAGTATAGGCTGGGCGCTGGGCGCCAGGCAGTAGGAGCGACATTTGAAACTGTGTTGGTGTGGCCAGAGAGCGTCGACATTGACATGCAAGTTCATTGTATTGCTCTTATTTGGATGGTATCTTGGTGCCTTGTGCTCTATGCTGGTACATGACTATCTGGACTACTTCACAATTTTGCAACTTGGATTTCTGTCTATCGCTCTGCCCATATTCCTTACACCAGGAA